TGGGAGTCCACATGGGAGTGGCAGCCGGAGATCCTGCACATGGGTAGCAGCTGGATATTCTATGTGGGAATGGTGTCTGGGATTTCAGCTCAGGTGGGTGGTTGAAAGTTCTGCGAGGGTGCTGATGCCGGTGGTCCTGCTCAGGTACCTGATAATCCTGTGGGGTGAGTAGTTGGGAGTTCTACTCTGACAAGGTTTATGACATTTTCGAGGATAGTATTCCAATAAACTCATGATGTACCACTATTTTAAACCTTTTAATGGTTCACAACACTTCTCTTTAATGCCACCCTGAAGACCAAGGCTTACTATATAAACCTTTGGGGACTTTCAACATCTAAACTAATAAGATTTTTTTCCTACTATGCAGGGCTGATTCAATGTTAGAAAATCAGTAAATGTTATGTATTTTATTAATGGGATAATAAAGAAAAATTCAACTCACATAAATAGGTGCAGAAAAAGCATTTACAAAATCCAAAATCGATTTGTGATAACAATTATCAGTAAACTAGGAACAGAGGGGAACTTCCTCAACTTGTTAAACAATTCTGATGAAAAATTTATAAGTAATACCATATTTAATGTTGAGAAACTGAGTCTTGTCTGCCAACCTCAGGTGGAAAGCTTTAGGATGTTATCCTTCACCACTGCTTTTTAAACATGATACTGAAAGTTTAACAGTATTATGTGCATATTACCTTCATCTTTTAAAATGATATTTATTATTAAATCACATGAATGTATCATAGTCTTTCAAATAATAAATATTCTTTGTGTTCCACACATTCTTCATTGTTTTATGATGAGATATCACAGCAAACAATATGGAAATAAAATTTATTTCTTTGAGAAGATAACATGGTATTAGGGGAATAAAGGGAAAATATACAAATATTGAATAACCAAATAATTAAATACGCTGGAACATATATCGAATTCTCTTTGTGGAAGATGTCCATATATCCACCAAAGAATCTTTTTCCATTTCTAGCGTGGAATGATAGTTGGTCATCCACTTTCCAGCAAGGGGTTGCATTTTCTAGTCTGTCTGGCTGCTTGATAATACTTGATGCCAGCATAGTGGCTACTTGCTGCCCATAAAATGTGAACAGATATGAAGTGGAGCATTTCCAAGAAGTATGTAAAAATCCCTGGGAAGTTCTCTGACCTTGATTTTAACTTTCTTGGTAATCTTGGAATCCAACTGCTGAAGTCAGAATCACAAATTTCAAAGACACTGGATTCTTGGATCACCTACTAAATATCCACAATTGCTTCCTATTTATAAGAAATACCCTTTGTTGTGTTAACACTGGGATTTGAGGGTTATATCTAACAATCATCATTACTTTAATAGAAAAAATAGAAGACGGGGGGGGAATCTAGTAGAGAAGGAAGATTATTATGATTTATATAGAGTGATCAAAGGTAGTATTACTGAGACTGATGTATAAGGAAGATATCAGCAAGGAGAAGTAATGAATTGTGAATCTCTTGAGAAAGAATTTTGTATACTGAGAAAACAGACAGATAAAGGTACTAAGGCAGAGACAACTAGTATATTTTTTTGTAAAAAAAAATGTCATTCAAAGGCCTAATGTGACTGGAAAGAGTAAAAAAGTTGAAATAGTCTTGAGAACTAAGCTTTATTTTTCTTTAATAAAAATGCTGCAATGGACAAATATTTGAAATACTTTTAAACCTGACTGTCTGTTTTTAGAAAAAAGTACATCAATAGAAGTGAGATTCTTGGTTTTGGGGTTACATGCATTTAAAATTCAGATCCGTATCTGCAAAGTGGCTCTCCAGAAGGATGCAATGATTTCACATGCTCACCATCACTGTTTCGCCATCTGTGTCATCACAGAGTCATGTACATTCTCTCACCTTTGCCAAAATTAGGAACCATAATGATAACAATAGTTGACATTTTCTGAGAACTGGTCATATGTCAGATAAGTCAATAGTACATTATGAATATTATTTAAGATCCTTAATAATAATGCTATCAGCATTATTTTCACAGTATATATAATATACAGTATATTTATATATTATTTTCACAGTATATATAATATACAGTATATATAATATACTGTGAAAATAATGCTTATTTTATAAAATAAAGCATTATTTTCACAGTATATATAAGAAACTGAGTCATGAAAAACATATGATTCCAGAGTCTGGACCAGGGACTACTAAGCTGTAATCAACTGAATAATTAAAATGCTTTCCTATTTGAATTTGTTCCTTTGATTACTGGTGAGATTATACTAATAAATTTTTCATAATTAATTGGGTGATTATTCTTTATTATAAACTGTGTTTTAAGGTAATTTCTCACTAATTTGTTAGACTATTTGAAACTGATGTCTAAGTTCTATTCTAACTTGGCAAAATTAAATAGTATGAATATGTTATCCTAGTTATTTATTTGCCTTTTAAGTTGGTTACAATATTCTTTCTTAGAGAAAGATATTGTTTTATGTCTTAAAGTATACATTTTCAATCAAAACTCATTTCATAATTAATATTAAGTAGATATAGAACTTTCAAGTAGAAACAAAAGGTAGTGTTTTTAAAATTCTGGCAATTAGAATGAAAGATTTAAATAAAGTTTAAAAAAGATAAAAATAAAATTAGAGAAAAATAATGCAGAGCATTATTATCTCATACTAATAAAATTCAAGAGATGAAAAAATAACTTCTTAGCATCAAGATATTTTTATTGAAATAAAAACACATAAAATCCATAAAATTACTACATACAGCTTGATGAATTGTAACTTATGTTGACATATATCCACCTCTCAGATCAAGAATATTTGCACCAACCCAGAAGTTTCCCTCATGCCCTACCCTGGTCATTGTCACCCTATTCCTATTAGATTAATTTTCTTTGTTGTGTGAATGTGTATTTTAATGTTATAATTTGCATATAGCAAAATAGATACAAAGACATAGCTTCTATATATACACCTATGAAACCACTATCCAAATCAAGATACAGTATATTTCCTTCACCCACAAGTTGTCTCTTGTCTCCCAGTCAATCTCTCTTTAAAGAGAACATTATTTTGATTTTTATCAACCTATATTATTTTGCCGGTTCCTCAATTTCATGTGAGTAGACTCATACAACATTTGCTCTTTTAATTTGGCATCTTCACCCCTGATGCATTTGAATGGACCACTGCTTACTTCTCTTTTTTAATTGTAGTATTCCAATGTGTGAATATAGCAGAATTATTCTTTCCTCTTTGTCTGGATATTTGATTTGTTTCCAGTTTTGACCTATTATGGATACTGATACTATGAAAATTCTTGTAAACAGTAAGAGATTAATAAAAAAAGCCAAAGTAACATTAGCTATATCAAAGGTAAAATTATCCAATTAAGGCATTAGCAATAATGGAGACTCCATTCAAAACAGAAGTAAATTATCTATAAAAACTAGGGATAGACACAAGAAGAGGTATGTTAGATCTCTGTAGAGAGAGCTATAACATCTTGGTGGGATAAATAAAGAAAAGGAATTTATTGAAATGAATCATGTATCCAGATACTTCAGCTAAATGTTATAAAAAATTTTACTATTCCTGGTGTACCATATGAAATTAGCACAATTACATCAAATTGGAACATAATTTTTAATTCAATAATTCTAAAGTTAGTTTGGAGAAAAATGCAAAGAAGGATGTTTTAAAAATAATAGTATAATGGAGTGCTGGTATTTACTTAATCTTAGATATATAGAGGAATGGGAGAAAGCTGAGAGATGAAAAAAATGATATATGACATATGATTAAATAATTCTTCCTAAAAATTGATTAAGAAATATTTCTGTTAACTTCAAAAGTTAACAATGTAGGGCCAGAGTTTTAACTGATAATTGGTCTCTCTACCTGGTAATGAAATGCAATTAATAAAGAACCCCAAAGATGGTGAAGACAAAGAAATTTTACAATGAAATAATGTATTTTTACTCCCCTATTCTGACATACTAACGGATCCATTGGATAAACTCATTAGAATAAGAATAATCCTGATAGATGTAGCACTTTGGAAGTGCCAGGTTTATTTATTAGGATAGATTAGGTTGTTCAGCAGAAACAAAAATCAATATCTTGATCCAGTAATTGGATTCAATAACAGTTTGTTTCTCATTCACTCAAAGTCTGCTGCAGATCTGGGAGGCAATACAGAATTTCTGTCCTCCATGTGGTACATGTGTTCCAGGATGCTTTGGTCTTATAGGGTTTCCCTCTAAACATAAATTTCTGTGACCAGTTTAGCAGAGAAAGAGAAGACGGATAACAGTAGAAGAGATAGTACATGATTTGGCTCATAGTTCACTGGCCAGAAGTAGGCATGTGATCATGTTTAACTCTTAGTGTATTTGGCCAGACGAAAATAATAATGAATGTTAATGAAAATTCCAGCACACTGGCTGACCTATGTGAAGGGAGGATGGACTAAGTACCAACTTCTTGATTTTGTTATTCCAAAACTTTTCTCCACAATTGGTGAAGCCAGCAGTTCAAATGGGAGGATCTTTGGCTTGTATCTATGCCTCGACAGAGTCTCTTGGGACTTTGTAGAATTATTCTGCTGAATGAGAAAAACAGATGCATTCTTGGTGAATGAGAATCTTCTCGTGATCTTTTGATGCTCCTGTAGACAGAAGTTCAGCTCAGATTCTGTGAGCACTTAATACTTTCACAGAGTGACCACCTTGATGTTCATTTAGAGAACTTAGAAAAGATCAGCCACAAAAGATGGATTGACATATATTTCCATTGAACCTGAGACATAAAGTTTTACAGTGTTTAACATGAATTTTTAAAATGTATCATAAATATACAATCCAAAAGTCTGCACGGGGGAATGTGCCCAAATCAAAAGCAGCATACCTTCTATGGAGTCTTCTATGCTTCCAAATATTACATATTTACATATTTTACATATTGTGTTAGGCAACTTTTTGCCACTGTGATAACATATCTGAGAAAATCAACTTAAAGGAGTAAAATTTTATTTTGGCTCACCATTTCAGAGATCTTGGCCCATGGTCTGCTGACTCCTTGCAGTGGACTGTGGTGAGGCAGACCTAACCACATAGTGGAAGGGCAAGGCAGAGCAAACCTGCTTACCTCATGGCAGCTGGAAATCAGAGAAAGAGGAAGAGGCCTAGATTCACCCTTCAAGGACACACAACCAATGACACCCCTCCTCCAAGTAGCTCCACCTCCTTAGGTCTCTATCACCTCCCAACAGTGCCATTGGCTAGGGACCAAACCTTCAACACAAGAGCCTTTGGAGACATTCCAGTACAAACTATAGAACAATTCTCTTTTTCTGTATCTCAATAAAGATATACACATATACATCTTATTCATTTGCTGAAATTTTTGACTGATATGAATTCTGAAGAAAACTGACAAATAAAATCTAAAAATAATATCTAAATTTTTAAGGCCTTAATTAAATAAAAATGTTTTCAGTTATTTAAAATATATATTAATAAATTGCAGCTGAAAATTAAGCCAGTGTAGAGATGAGAAGAGGGTGCAGAAGAGAGAGCTATTTTAATTCCAGTCATGCTTTGCTACAATTCTAATGAACTCTCAGCATTTCTAGCTCTTCTTCTATAAAATTGGCAGAGAAGGTGAAAAACAGACTTTAGAAACTATGAAGTTATTTTATTTAATGAATAACTAATAAATAATAAAACATCAACTTTAGACTTTGGTACATTGAATTGGGTTTGAATCTAAGCTCTGGCTATTTCTAATCATGGAGTCTTGAGAAAATTGTTTGACCTCTCTAATCCAAGTTTGATTAAGGGTAAAAATGGGGATAATACCTCCTTCATAAGATTCTTATGAAGATAAATGAATAATGTATGTTATGCTACCATAGAGATCTCAGAATACACCAGGGTTTCAATATTTGCTCTCTTCCCTAGAATAAGATATTTTTTAATGAGGATTTTTTGTAAATTGATGTTGTACTCATGTTTGGTCTTTGATCTTCTATGCTTCGTCAACAAAGTCATCATTAAAATTCTGCTGAAGCTCGCTTTGTGTCTGAGTTTATACACATACATACAACACACACACAAGCATATATGCATATGTACTTTTTTGTTTTTTCTTTTCCTCTTAATTTTGCAAATTCAGCTTTGTGCAATTTATTTAACTGATCATTTTGATTTATTGCTGTGTCACAAATCATCATAAAATTTAGTGGCCCAAAATAGGGAATAGTAAACTATTTCTTATAAGACAAATGTAGTCCATAGCCTATTCTTATGCAGCTAATAAAACAGAAAATTTCTGAAAATTATTATTTTTAAACTATATATATTTTTTAAAAAGGAACATGTAATAAAGACCACTGTGGCCTTCATAGCTTAAAATGTTTGCTATTTTGTTCTTTACAAAAAAAAAGTTTGTTGATGATTGGCTTAAAACAATAATCAACCTATATTTTGCTCATAAATCTATAATTTGGACTTGACTTGATGAGGAAAGCTCATTGCTTTTCTACCCGATTATCAGCTACAGGCTTGACTGAAGTTGTTGAGTCTGTTTCCAGAAGGAATATGTCACATGACTGGCTGGCAAGTTGGAGCTGTCTTCTGACTGGGCTCTCAGTTGGTCCAGAGGACCTAGAACTTCAGTTAATTTTCATATTGTCTGGGCTTCCTTATGTCATGAAATCTGGGTTTATGAGGACAAGTGGATTAAGAATGATTTAGGCAAGAGCTGTGTTGCATTTGTAATCTCATTGCAGTGGTCACATAGGTTCAGATTCTCTGAGAGCTCTTAGTTTAGCAGCACAGAGCCATCCAGTACCAGATGCCCAGGTGCAGATGCATAGAGGCTGTAGTTAACCTAGGAATTCAGAGCTTCCCATGAAGTTCCTTATACATCATCCACTCATGCTTTTTTGTTTGTTTGTTTGTTTGTTTCAAACTCTGACTTAACTCTTCACACCAATATTTAAAAAAAAAAAAAAAAAAAAAACGGATTCCTCCCAACTCTGGTCCCTCAACTCTGCTTTCTGGACTTTGATTTCCCCACCTCCTCTCAAAACTATATGAAGCCAATTCCTATTCTCTTATCTCATAGCACCTATAGTCTGCTTCTGTGACTGACTTCTGGTTGATTGAATGACTAATATCAGAAGTGGGTTGTGGCCCACAGAAGCTTAGAGATACAGATCTGGACTGGTTCTCATATTGGACTAGATTTGGAGACATGCATGACTTTAAGACTAGTAGCAAATGCACTGATAGCCTATAAAATGCTGTTACTTGAACTGTCACTGGCGGTCACCTGGAATTAAGTGTCAATAAAGCTTTTTAATGCCAAACGGCACTTGATGGAAATAGAATATTGGAACTGTGAGATTGTTAGGTGAGATTGTTAGATTCTATGTTACTGAAAAAAATGTGCAGAAAGAAAATTTTAAACTCAAGTTTTTAAATTCTTGCCTTAAATTGTGGGAATAAGTCTACAATCTCTGATAGCTATAGGATCGAAGTTTCTGAAAAACAAGGCCAAGTAGGAAGCTTGTGAGTAGCCAGATTACAATATGAATTAATTTATAACCTTGGAAAGTCTCTATTGTTAACGTTAAGGTGTTGATTGGGAAATAGTGGGGCCTTGATAATTGAGAAAGTGACAACTGGTCAAATTCTTATCACTGAATCTCCTTTTCAAATAGAAGCAATCCCCTTTCCCTTGAATTTAGAAGAAGCTAAATGGTATTTTTTAAGATGTCTTGAAATACAGTACTGCTCCTTCATATGACCCACTCACAACAACTCTGTTAGAGGTCTTGCTCTTGTACACAAAGTCGGCTTAATTTCTAGCAGGTTCTATGGATTAGGTCCAAATACGTCCCATGAATACATACCAGAATCCCCCCAATTTTTTCAAAATTTTTTTGATTTGTATCTGTAGAAATCTATGGGATATATTTGGAAAATAATTCTAAGGATATTGAAAAAGGGTGGAAGAAACAGAACTATTTTGGCTAAATTTTTTTATATGGGTACCTTAAAGAGAGATCCCTGATTGCTTGTATAAGCTGGGGTAGGATTATGCATGTCCTTTGTTGATTGATTGAAATATGAACCTAAATGTAGCCCACAATTATAGAAGGTGAGATGATAACATTTATTTGGTATTATACAGAGAAATATCCAGGGGTTAAGGGAAACTGAAATGCCAGGGTGAATTACCATGTAAGACCTGCTCATCTACTCCCTAATGGTATCACAAGATGGTGCAGAGGAACTTTTTCTATAAAGTTTCTGAAAGCCCATTCATGAGATAAGTAGTCATTCCTGAAGTAGTCTAGGGTGTCATTATTTAGCCAGTGGGAAATGTTGCTGTTGAACTTAGTTCCCTGAATCCCCGAGGAGGAAGATTATTCATAATGGTGGGGTCAAATGATTTCATTTAAGCACCACAGTCTTCACCTGTAAAAATATTAAAACAACAAATAGCAAAATGGTGGACCTAAAATAGTCATGTATATAATTACCTGTAAATAGACTAACATGCAAATAAAATTTGTCAAATTAAATAAAAAACAAGTTCTTCAACTACATTATTTTGAAAGGAGGCTGTTTAATGAACAAGGATAGAAAAATTTGAAAGCAAATATAAGAAAAATATGCACCATAAGGGATGAGTCTTAATTATAAAATAATGGATAGATTAACATTAAACTAACTAGATTTCAAGAAGAAGGATGATTTTAAACTTAAAAATGTCATGTAATGATAAAATATCTAAGCTTCAAATGACTGAAGTAAAAATAGCAAGAGAGAAGTAGACAAGTCTACAATTATCATTGATGATGGGAACTTTCCTCTTTCAATAACTAATATATATAAAATAAAAATCATTAGGAATATATAAGAATTGTTCATAAGACACTATGAACAATGTTAAACTAATTGATATTTACAGACATTGAACAATTTCAGAATAACATCCCTTCCAAGTGCACATAAAAACCTTCAAAAAGAAAAACCTTATAATGGTTTTTAGAGTATAAAGTCTTAGTTTTTTCTCTAATCAGAATAGAATAAAATTAAAATTTTCAGTAAGAAATCTAGGAAATATTATATTTTTGATGATTAACATTACTCTTCTAAATGACATGCAGGTTAAAAAGGAAATAAGAAGGAATTTTAAAACATTTTTAATCGCTTCTCGGCCTTTTGGCTAAGATCAAGTGTAAAACATTTTTAACTAAAAGTGAAAATACAACATAAGAATGTTTGGTGGATGCAGCCAAAACAAGGTTTAGAAGATAATTTACAGATGTATATGCTTATATTAGAAAAGAAGGGAGTTTTAAGAATCAATGATCTAAGATTCCACCAGAAATATCTAGAAAAAAGGATCAAATTAAATAGCATAGATAAAAATGAAGTAAGCAATAAAGAAGAAGAAATCAAGAAATAGAAAACATACAATAAAGCAAATTAAGAAAGGCCACAGTCTTTGGAAAAATAATGCAATTGATATGACATTAATAAGACTAATCAGAAAAGTTATATGTATGTGAATATATGCAAACACACCACCCATCCTCCCAATCCCCAGTGAAAGGGAGACACAGAGAAAGATAAGAACACTATTCAAAATAATTAGGGAATGTAGCAAAATGATAGAGTGAATGCTTACTGTGCAGAAGGCCCAGAATTCCATCCCCAGCATGTACACATACTCACACACAAAAAAAAAGAAAGAAAGAAAAAAAAATAGGCAGTCATTACAAGTCGAACAGATATTAAAAGGATAATAAATGAACATTGCAAATAACCGTGGGCTAGGACATTTACAGTTTAGGTAAAATAACCAAGTTCTGAAAACTAAAGCAAGAGTCCAACTTATCAGGCCAAAGATTAAATCTGGGAAGTTCAATTCAATACTTGCACATCAATCAATGATTGTCTCCATTGCAAAGATTACAATAGTAATAATAGAAAAGAAGCACACTGCTCCTTCAGACCATATTTGTGTAAAGCAAAAATTATGGTCTAGCAGCAGAAAAAGGAGAAAGAGTGTGAAGGAAAAAGATACTTTCAGCATAGACCCCTAGCATCATTCTTACTCACATGAAGGTATGTTTCAATGCTGGACTGAAACACTGAATTTTATTCAGTGAAACTTGGCTTAAGGAGAATTCTCTAAACTTTGCAGCAGTCTTTTATACCTCCCTGCCCATGTGGCCAAACAAGGCTATGCCACTCATCATGCCAAAGGAACATCAATAACAAACAAATAATCTTCAGGTGCTGAGTGAGATGTAGAGGATGTTGAAATGCATGCATTAATAGTAGTTCACTAAAGTGATTCAATTACTTAGGAAATTAAAAAAAACAAAACTATATTGCAGTTTCTTACAAGAGTAAACATACATCTATCCTATGATCCAGTAGTTCTAGGGATTTATTACAGAGAAATGAAAAAATGTATCCACAAATAAACTTGCATAAAAATGTTTAAAGCAGCCATATTCATAATGAGCAATAACTCGTGGGTGGGAGGGGAATCAATGGGTCCATTAACAGGAGATAAACAATATACATAATTTCACAAAACAATTTATAGTATATTGTTATAGTGGAATATTTCTCAGCACCGTGAGAGATTGCATTGTTGATATATGCTACAACAGTGATGCATCTACAAAATATTAAAATAAAGAAGCTGAATACAAGAAAAACATACTATATAATTCCATTATAAATTTAACAAAAAAGCAAAGTAATTTCCATGATATAAATCAGAGTAGGGGTTGCCAAGTGTTGCATTAGGGGCCTTCCTCAGATGATAGATCATTCTATATCTTAATTGAGAAGATGGTTACACATTTGTCAAAAGTCATTTAATTGGGCATTTACGATTTGTGATTTTACTGTTTACAAATTTTATTTCTATTTTAAAGAGCAGACATTTTAAAGATAATAAATGCAACACTTTGAAAGAAAGAATAAATGCACAAATGGTATAGTCTATAGTTTTACTTATTTAGAATTGGAACAAGCAAAACTTATGGAGTTAGAAATCAGGATAGTAGTTGTCTCTCAGAGTTGAAGAAATGCAAGAAAAAAACCTAAGAAAACTTTCTGGTGTTCTATATCTTGATTGTGATGATGGCTATGCAAGTAGAACCATCTATCAATAGGCATCAAGAAATATCTCTGGCTTTTGTTTATGTCAATTTTACCACAATAAAAGAAAAAAAAGTCTTTATGTTAAATGTATATTAGATAAGATAAAGTCTTAAAAGCAATGTTCTATTCATTAATCTCAAGAAGTGGAAGAACAACAAATTACATTCATATAATATAGAAGGGAGAAAGGAAAACAGATAAGACCAGAAATTAATGATGTAGAAAATAACCTATTGTAGAGATGATGAATAAAATCAATATTTTTTGAATGGAAAGAACACCAAAATACAAACTCATGCTAAAATTGATCAAGATATAGCAAGAAGAGAAAAATTATCAGGAATAAAGGCACACATCAGTATTGATCAGATATTTTAAAAAGATTATAACAGCATTAGTAAAATACATTTAAAATCCAGATACAAAAAAAACATCTGAGGGAACATAGTATATAAAAAAATGACCCCAAATGGAACCACCATCTGACCCAGCTATTCCCCATACTACAGGGATACAGCTACATCAATGTTCATAGCAGCACAATTCACAATAGCTAGACTATGGAACCAACCCAGATGCCCTTCAACAGATGAATGGATAAAAGAATATGTGGCATTTATACACAATGGAATATTACTCAGCACTAAAAAATAACAAAATCATGGCATTTGCAGGGGAATGGATGGCACTAGAGCAGATTATGCTAAGCGAAGTTAGCCAATCCCTAAAAAACAAATGCCAAACGTCTTCTCTGATATAAGGGAGGTGACTCAAAACAGAGTAGGAAGGAAGAGCATGAGAAGAAGATTACCACAAAACAAGGAAAAGAGGTGGGAGGGAAAGGGAGGGAGAAGGGGAATTGCATGGAAGACGGAAGGAGACCCTCATGGGTTCACAAAATACATATACGATGGTGTGAGGGGGAAGGGAAGAAAAGAGAGAGAGAGAGAGAAGTATCACAGTAGAATGGGTAGAGAATAGTGATGGGAGGGGAGGGCAGGGGAGGAGAGGGGGGATAGGGAGGGCAGCAGAATACAACTGACACTAGGATTGCTGTATATATACACATAGATGTATAACCAATGTGATCCTGCAATCTGTACACGTGGAAAAATGAGAATTCATATCCTATTTGAATTAAATGTATGATGTGTCAAGATCATTGTATTGTCTTGAGCAACTAATAAAAAAATGACCCAAGAATAAAAAGATGCTATAATAATTTATAATTAAGGCATAAAATAGAATCTCTAATATGTAAACATCCCTACAAACCAGTCTCTAGTTATAATAGAATTACTTGTGAAATCCTTCCAATATAGAAGGAAAAACATAATACCTAAATAACACTTACCAATGAACAAAAAAAAAGAGAGAATCTACTTATTAACTTATTCAATCTGGATAATAATGATACAAAACATGACAAGCATATTATAATAAAGGAAAATGACCGGTCAGTCTTTCTCATTTACCAACATCCAAAATCTTAATAAAAATAAAAGAAGTATTTTGTCTTTCTTCTTTTTTTAAGGATGGAATATATTCCATTGTATAAATACCTTAAGTTTTTAATTCATGTACCCATTGAAGGTGGGTTAAAAACGTATGCTGTTTTCATACTTTGGCTCTCATGAATGTGAGACAATGCACATAGGAGTGCAGAGATTTCTCTGAGATTCTAAGTTCAGTTTCTTTGCATGTAATGTCAGCCCTCCATAACCTTGAGGTCTGCATCTGGGGATTCAACCCAGATTGAAAATATTCAAAAAATGAGATGAAGTTCCAAAAACCAAAACTTGAATCTGCCAGATATTATGCATGATTCTAGTGAAAGAAGTCATTAATGAGCAGGCATACTTGACGCTTCACAGATTTTAGTCTGTCACTCCCGCACTTGTCGGAGCATTGTTCACCTCACATCTCATTTGTGTACTTGTAGATGGGCCTATCATGTTTGCATCTGTACTGATGGCATACACCATTTTTTTCTTTTTTGCTAAAAAATAAAGTATAACAACAATTTACATAGCATTTACATTATATTGGGGATTGTAAGTAACCTAGAGATGATTTAAAGCATACAAGAAGATGTTCATATATTATATGCAAATATTATGCCATTTTTTATAGGGCATTTCACCATCCGCAGATTTTGATATCTGAGGGGTATCCTGGAACCACTCGTGCATGGATACTGAAGCATAACTGTACGAAAGTATTTGAATTGCTGGATCATATGGTAATTTAATTTCTAATTTTAAGACACCTCCAAAGTATTATTTATAACAGCTGTAATAATTAGCATTCCCACCTACAGTGTATATGGATTCCCTTTTCACCACATCCTTGCCAACACTTCTTTTTTATTGTTGCTATTAACAATAACCATCCTAACAGGTATGAAGTGACATCTCATTATGATTTTGATTTGCATTACCCTGATGATTACTGATGTTGAGCACCTTTTCATATTCCTGCTGGTCATTTGTATGTCTTCTTCAGCATGGAAAAATATAACAGAACCAAACAAAACAGCATCTTCCATTTTATCCTCGTCCATCTGGAAAAACGCAGATCTTTCATTCTAGGAAACAAAATTCAATTTTCTTCTCAAATAATTTGTTTGCTTGTTTTCTCCTGCTGAGTTCAATACAAAACACTTTGTACATGCTCAATTTCCCAAATGATAGTAATAACTATTATTATAGTTTTTTTTTTTTTTTTGGTAGAATATGACAGAGTCTTATAGGAAGCTTCTTCTGTAGGAAGACAGAACACCAGAAAATCCCTAAGGAAGGTATTCCTTTTTGTGGGTACAGGGGCATGGCCTTAACAGGTAATGTCCCAGAACTAGCATGATAGGAACTTGGCCTTTAGAAAGAGCTAAATCTCCCCAGTTAGAGGAGTTGCATAGGAATTCCAGGTGCTTGCAAGGGTTGGAGGTAAATGAAAGCTTAGTGCCCACAGGGTGTGGTGGTTTCCAGAAATACAGTAGGGTAGATCTGGAGGGTTAAAAAAGTAACAGGACATAGAGGTTTGCTTGGGTTTGGTTTGCAGAGGACATAAATTCCTTATTGAATTACTTAGACTTTATTTATTTAGGTTTTGGCAATCAGAGAAGGGGTGTGGTCGTAGAATAAATTTGAGAACCAAGCAGACATAAGAAAATGTTTTGATTTTCTGGTAGTACCGATTAAAGGAGCTCTATATTGAAAACACTATTTCTACCTCCTGAAAAAGAGCCAATCCAGTATTTTGGAGGTTTCTTTTATTTATTTACTTATTTTAGGTAGACGGCAAGTAGGATTTATTGGTGGACATGATTAAGGACAAAGCAGCACCGTGGAAGCCCTCACAAGTGCAAAGCCTGCCATGTGTCCATGGGACTTGGATTGAGGTTGTATTTGACATTTCAACTGTTCAGCCACTCTCTCTTCAAATTCAACAGAAATAAACTTGGGAAAGTCCTACTTCTTTTAGATGTAGATCTGGTAGCAGCTATAGAACTCAAATTTATCCCTGCCTAGGGACCCAATCCCATGCTCCTTGTACTGCAGCTTGGTGCAGACGGACATAATAACTTTGTCAATGTGAATCCCGGTTACCATGCCTTGCAGTTTTCCAAAGGCATCCTAAATAACTGTCTGGAGCCTAGATTGGGGGCAGTAGGAGGCCAGAGATGTCCTCTGGAAAGGGCTGTCCCAGGTGCCTTAGGCACGTGCAAGAAACGGGGCTGCTTACTCTTTGGGGAAGGCTGCTGTTTGCAGCCATGCATACCACCACACCACAAGGGACCCGGCCCAGTTGACTTAATTGAGTGCAGATATTTTGGAGTTTCAAATCACAGTGACTAACCACATCACTGAATAAATGGTTTTGAAGACACAGAACATTAAGATATTTAGAAATAACACAAAGCAGTATTTTTAAATGACTTCAGTAGTTTACGATAAATCCTTATTAACCAAATTAAGTTTTTAGGTTAGTATTTCTCCTTCTAGGCCATTTTCACAGTTATTCTGGTATAATGTAGAATTTACACCACTTATACTCTGAGTTCATAAAATGAACTCCAGGTTATAATTTTGAAATGAATGGATACCACTTATTAAATCAGAGTTTTCAAAGATTTTGAAAGCAAATGTACTCATCTTTTTGTTTTGACATGTTTCTTTAACAAAAGTTTATAGCTGTATTCAAGAGAAAAGGAGTTGCTCCATAATATTTCAGCATACAACTTGTAAGCACTAATTATATACTACAAATGTGCTAGTTGATGAAGATATAATAATAAATAAATTATGAATATTAACCTCCTGTTCCTAGTATATTATTTAAAATCTGACCCTATCACACTGATAGTTTCTTGCCCCAATAGTCTCCAGGTTCAAATTTTGGTATTCCTCTCTTATTCCAGTAAATCATATACTCCATCTATTCTAAATAAATACAGCTTTCTGGTACCTTCTTTTTCCTGTGCAATTGAAGAAAATTAGCTGAACCTATGTTCATGATCATTGCCCTCTAATCAAGTGCCTCTGTCAAGATTAATCTCAAGGATGTGGGGAAAAGGGTACACTTGTACATTGCTGGTGGGGCTGCAAATTGGTGCGGCCAATTTGGAAAGCAGTATGGTGATTCCTTGGAAAGCTGGGGATGGAACCACCATTTGACCCAGCTATTCCCCTTCTTGGACTATTCCCTAAAGACCTTAAAAGAGCATACTATAGGGATACTGCTACAACGATGTTCATAGCAGCACAATTCACAATAGCTAGACTGTGGAACCAACCTAGATGCCCTTCAATAGATGAATGGATAAAAAAAAAATGTGGCATTTGTACACAATGGAGTATTACTCTGCACTAAAAAATGACAAAATCATGGAATTTGCAGGGAAATGGATGGCACTAGAGCAGATTATGCTAAGTGAAGCTAGCCAATCCTTAAAAAACAAATGCCAAATGTCATCTTTGATATAAGGAGAGCAACTAAGAACAGAATAGGGGGGAAGAGCATGAGAAGAAGATCACCATTAAACAGAGACAAGAGGGGGGAGGTGTTAGAGTCTGTAAACAAGTTAAGATGGCACCTGGCATTTTGCAGAGGGAGTGGTTTGTAAAGTAACGCCAGCGAGCCATTAAGTGTGGAGATTCCTTATTGGTTGACTGCTGTATCTAGTTTACGTTAATTAAGATAAGCTGTGTGGAATGTATATATACCCCTCCGTTCCTACAATAAACCGCTCCTACTCCTGCTGTATCAATGTACACAAGTTGCTTGTCCCCCCCCTCCCCCCCCCTGTTAGTTTGCTGCAGTCAAACTGCAGCAGGGAGGGAAAGAGAGAGAGAAGGGAAATTGCATGGTAAAGGAAGGAGACCCTCATTGTTATACAAAATTACATATCAGAGGAAGTGAGGGGAAAGGGGAAAAAAAACAAGAGAGAGAAATGAATTACAGTAGATGGGGTAGAGAGAGAAAATGGAAGGGGAGGGGAGGGGAGGGGAGGGGGGATAGTAGAGGATAGGAAAGGCAGCAAAATACAACAGACACTAGTAGGGCAGTATGTAAAAAAGTAGATGTGTAACCGATGTGAATCTGCAATATGTATATGGGGTAAAATGGGAGTTCATAATCTGCTTGAATCAAATGTATGAAATATGATATGTCAAGAGCTTTGTAATGTTTTGAACAACTAATAATAAAAAAAAAGAAAAAAGAAAAGATTAATCTCAAGTCTCGCCCATGTCGGTGCCCACGGTGGAATTTGGGTTTCCTCTGCATGGAGTGAGCAGACTGTGACATTAAGCTAAGAAAAGAAGGCAGTAAAAAAAACCACACTACAGGGGCTGAGGTTGTGGCTCAGTGGTAGAGAGCTTGCTTCGCAGAGGCGGGACCTTGGTTCGATCCTTAGCACCACATAAAAATAAAGGCATTGTGTTGTGTCCATCTACACCTAAAAAATAAATATTAAAAAAAAAGAAACCACACTACACAGAAAGTAGTTTTAGAAAGCGGGGGTGGGACGGCTGCTAGACCTTAGGGGTCAAGCTTCCACACTGAGAAGACAGAGTGAGAGGCCGCATATAGTTTATTTATATGGGGGAAACATTAAAAGTTTTCTACAGAATGGTCTTTTGCCAAATAAGATAGGAGTTGGGCTGTCCAGACCCAATGGGTTATGCCCAATTCCACAGCTGTCTCCCTACCCAAGGGAAGACTGAGGTCACGTGCATTGCTTAATCCATTAAGTGGGAGGAGCCACAGAATAACTTGCACTGCCAAACCAAAATCTCCTTGGCTCAAGTCTGAGTGAAGATGCTAAATAGTTCAGGAGTGGCTTCCCACACTCAAGTCTTTATTTCCCTCAAAATTCTGAGGAAATATTCTCTTTATTTCTCTAGGCTTGAGGCTACATTTCTGTAGATGGGATCTTTATTAATTGCAAGCCATCCATCTATGAACCAATCTCTATCTGTAATCCTTATCAATTCTTTCTCTTTCCTTCGAAATACCCATCCTTCTCCCTTTGGTTAGTTACTTGTTCATCTCTCTTCTGAGTCCTACTTTCTTCCTACCCGGGAAATGTATACCCACATTATCCCTTATTTTTGTTTTTTGCTCATTCTTTCACATGACATTGGATTGTAACATAAACCAAAGCATGCATATTTAGACTCCAAACCCTCTTTAGCTGAAGGAGGACTATCTATCTCCCCTATCTTTCTCCCCTATCTACTTACAAATTTCTTGAATGAGACAAGTATGCACATTCTCATTTTTTCCTTACACTTGAACACTTTTTACTCAGATATATGTCTGCATTTTATTAGGTTTTTACTTAGATAAGGTCATCAGTGACCACTGTGCCCCAGTTCCCACAGTTAATGTTTCAGTTCTCATCTTATTCAACCACTCATAGAATTCTGTATATTCAGTATGAACCTGCTATTTGAACTTGTTTCCCTTGAGTATTCATTCTCTTGATCTCTTTTAAACGACTCTGGACTTTCCTCAGAAACTTTAACCAGCTAGGTATCACTACACAAGTTTTAAGTATGAAACTTCTCCTTGGTTAGTTTTAGGCTCTAGTTCTTGTCACTCAGTCTCCTTTCCCCTAGATTCAAGGCTGCAAGTAGTAATTTGTATGCAGTAACTCCTAAAACTTACCACTAACTTGAACTTTTGCCCTGAACCACTAACTCATATATCCAAATACTTCTCTGAAATTTCCACTTAGAGATCTAGCAAGAATCTCAAAATTAGCATGGTCAAAACTGAAACTATCCTCTGTCCCCATCCTCATTCATCTCCACCACTCCCTTTCTTAGTGAATGTCCTTATTGAATCTACCTTCCCCTTACTCCCAATACCCCAGATCTGGACTACCTTTTAATCAGTGAGCAAATGATTCCAATCATACTTGTAGTGAGACTCCAATGACCTGAAGGAGTCTGTAAAATGCTTGGGGCTGAGACAAGGAAATGAAATGCAGTAAAATATAGTTTTTAAATAAGTAAATATTATTATTTTGTAACTTTGTTTTTAAAATCAGCCTTGGAGATGCTTATATTTATTCAGTTT